TGAAGAAGCTGTCCACCATACCAAAGGTGATTGGTGTTGAGATATCGGTGCAAGAATCGGGGTTGTACTATTCGTCACCACCAAGTCCGCCGTGGACCACGTTAGGGATGTACATGTATCGAGTGTTCGTGCATGTCGAAGAAGTGGTCAATCAATCAATCGAAGTCCTACTGCCGCCGCTGGTGCCCGGGTCCGTCGACGACGTCCATTACAGGAGTCAATGTCAGACTTTCCCCATGTTGCTCGGAATGATGGATGGCACAGGGCCTACTCCATCGCGTGGCGGAGGCCACTACTTCTTTGGGAGAAGAGGCAGGGCTGGCTGCCTGGATGTGCTCTAATTTGAGGTAACAACTGAATCTTGTCAGATACTAGTTAAATCCGAGCTATAGGTGTGAAGCACTGATGTGCCAGTACATTTGATTGTGACCTGTTCCATTTTTTACCTAAACTTTTTTTAGACAGGGTTGTACGTCAACTTAATGTTCTAGCAGAACTTATATATTGTGTTGTCTATCTGTTTTCTTTACACAACATCCAAGATATTTCCCCATCATTGATAAAGACGACGAACCGTTATGTACGAGTTCATTGGTTTCAACATAGCCCTACCCGTAGCGATCCACTGCTTCCACCCTGATTGTGCTGCCTGTGTGAAATATTTGTATGCAAGTTTAGTGTGGTATGATGTTCTATATGATTCCCAACAGGGGGTTTCGGGCATCATTTCTTCATCGCCTCACACCCGCAGACCTACAGGGAAGTTGGGTATGTTTTCCCCTCACAATTTTTGACACAATCTAGGCTGCAAATCCAGATCTGAATGTATATTTCCATCAATTTGTTCAGTAGTATCAACAAATACAAACAGAATTTCTATTGTTGTTCAGATTTGTTAGCTATTGAAACTAGGTAGTTCCACCTATTTTTCTTCAGTGCCACACCAGGTATTGCCACTTGTTAGATTAGAACCCCAACACACGAACAAAAAAGAGGTTCAGTACATCCGTGTTGCAGTTCTCTTAACATGTTAGCGAAGTACACTGTAAATCACCTTGCAAAACAAACATATTACAGTATAATATATATCCTACTAAAACTACAAGTCAATTCCGTATATAAGTTTGTTCATACATTGCAACTACTTTATTAAATAGTAGTCATATATATATGTACATATTTAAGTCAACATAAACAGATCATCCTAAATATAAAGAAAAACATTTGTTGTTTACTTATAAAAAATCCTTTTCCATCCATGCCAAAATGCAAAAACTACCATCCACAATAAAATTTCCTGCATCGAGTTCAGGGAAGGTTACCTTGGAAACACAACACAAGAATGGGTATGCAGACATGCAAGCTGACTACCACATTGACTCTGAAGACTGCATCAACATAACTACTTGCTGGAATGATTTTGTCTCCCAGAATGGCTTTGAGGCTGGAGAAGTGGCCATGGTGTTTTTCTATAAAGAAGAAGACTCCCTCAAGTTTACAATATTTGCACTGTAGGTTGTCTAGGATAAAAGCTAAAGCCATCAGTGGCATATTCTAATGCTTTGCTTATATTGCATGCTTTCAAAATTATGTCCATCAGAAGGCTTGAACGGTGCCTATTTAAAGTATGCAACCTCATCCGCATCATTTTATCACCCTTTTTAGACAAGTTGCTGCTGACAGAAATGCAATTCTCTAATACACACAGTACGGTCCTTATATAAAAAATGTAGTACTCTCAACAATAATAATGCAATGTCAATGCTCGGAAACTTTGTAGTTAACATATGTTGGTCAACAGAATTCTCATGGTACGAAGTTCAGAAGAATTGACATAAATACAAGAAATATCAGCATAACTATTCTGCTAATGCAGTACGAAAGTGCATACAATGCGGTTCTCTGAAACACAAAATGCAGTCTAAGAAAAAGAATTATCTCATAAGCTGTCGTGCCCACTATAATACAGTTACATTGAAGTCCACTACTTAACAAAATGCAACACACTACAAACATATGCCAGAAGCAACAATAAAATCAAAGCAGTACAGGTCCAGACATGTAGGAGACTAACAGAGGTGCCAATTCCACTTGCAGTTCGATAAGTGGCCAAAACATTGCGCAACCACTCAAATTTGAACAATTACCCACCAAACAATATATCAAACCCACTGCCACTGCGATGAACAGCATGAGCTACTCTTTAAAAATGCACACCAAAAAGACGAACATTATAGGCATGATACAATGAATTCAAAACCAAAAAGAGAAACTAACTACAAGATTCAAAATGAATCAACGCACAAAATCCAAAAAAACAATAAGAACAGACGAGCGCACGAACCTCACACGCCCAGACAATCGATTTCGCAGAAATTGAAAACTAACTACTAAAAATTAGACAAATTGTAGAGTAAACTGACTGATTAAAATGAACACAATCAAATAATTCCTACTAACAAACAACATCCGAGCATGAAAAAGTCGCATCTGATGCGAACACAAACGAATAGAGAAAGCTCGTCCGCCAAATCGCTCGATTTGCAAAGATTCTAGTCGCCTTTCCTGTAAATTACAAAGAATAAATGTCAAATGAGATCTAGAAATAAATTAAATCATCCCGCAACACCCGATTCCTCACAGAAAACGTGGGCGGACCGTCAGAAAATAAAGCAGTTCTCCCATGAAGCATTGCAATGCTCATCGTAAAGAGGATGCAGTTCGCTTCTGTTGAGCGTGCAGTGCGGAAGTGTTATCAGAATAGTTATTCACCACCCAGGGGGCAGAATAAGTTATTCTTCACCCAAGGTAATCTTACGATCACTTCATAATTAAATTACATTTGGAAATTTAAATAGTTACATTCATATTGATTCACTACGTAAAATTTCGTATAAGAAAATAAAAATATAGGTCATAAGACAAGAAAATTTGGAGTTTATGTATATTTTACACTATGTTTTTATGTTTGTAATTTTACATAATATAAAATATTTTTTACGACGATTATATTTTTTACGGTCTCTTTTTATGTCAGAAATAAGACAAAACTTACGAAACGTAAAATTACAGTGCATTGGTGGTAAAATAAAGGAGGGTGAAGAATAACTATTCCTCACCCAGAGTGACGCGCTATTTGTCACTCTGTGTGAGGAATAATTATTCTTCACCCCCTTTTTATTTTGACGTCAATGCATCGTATTTTTAGATTTCATAAATTTTATCTTATTTCATACGTAAAAAGAGAACGTAAAAAAATATATATACCCACCGTAAAAATATTTTATATTATGTAAAATTACGAACTAAAACATACATAAAATGCGGTATTTCTAGTCTTATAATGTATATTTTTTGTTTTCTTATACCAATTTTTATGTAGTGAATTAATATAAATATAACTATTTGTATTCCAAACGTAATTTATTTATGAAGCGGTCGTAAGATTACCTCGGGTGAAGAATAACTTATTATGTATAACTTTTTGTCCCATACTCTCACCGTAATAGAGTTTTTACCCGCAGGGTACGAGGGTAATGAGTACACATTGCCATCCCTATACATCGTCAAGATGCTCGTGGGCTCTGGTCGACGATAAACTTGAACAAAATCTGGTCGCAACTACCAAACCGAAGGCGAGGCAGTGGCTGTTCACTCTTATGGACTCACTATCACATGAACAGTTCATCAAGGTTGCAGTTAGGGCTATTTGGACGGCTCATCGAAAGGCTATAGATGAAGGGATCTTTCAAACTCCAGCGGCACTTCAATCCTTTGTCTCAAGGTTCATATCCGAACACCAAATCCTGTAAGATAAGAAGCCGCGAACTGCAACGGCAGTTGCTACCACCAACTCGACTACACAACGGCCAAAGGCACGCGCCCCTGACTATGCAAAAATTCAGGTCGACGCGACTGTTAGGGCAGGTAGTAGCTGCGGCAGTATGCCGAGACAACATAGGCAACTTCCGAGGCAGCTCCTTACTCGTAGTGCATGGGGTGCATGATCCGGCAATACTCAAAGCAATGGCGTGTCGCGAAGCCCTCTCTTTGGCGTCTGATTTACAACTTCACAACTTTATAATAGTCTCAGATTTCAAACAAGTTGTTGAAGAGATCATTTTAGGCAGCCATGGTACCTATAGTGCTATTATAAGAGAGATCAAAGCAAAAGCGACATTAGCTATATTTTATAAAGTCGTGTGGTCAATGTTGACCCATATAGTTTAGCGAGATTTTCTTCTCTTACTCTATCTTAGGGTCGTCATGTTTGGTTTGGCTAACCACATGACCCGAATTGTATCCCACTTACTATGTTTTTTTAGAAGTTACTTACTATGACTTTTGATTAATATAAAGTTGGCCTTTCCCTAAGGCTAGTCATAGTGGGAGTAACATAGCGTACTTTGAGAAATTTTTGCTTACGTGGCATGTAGTTAATGAAAAGTAGTAACATAATATGTTACTGTAACATATCGTTTTTCCAAGACAAAATGAGTCTACAAACCATTAAATGAAGCCATATATGACACTATCAATATGTTACTTTACATTATGAAGATATTAATTTAGGGGGTGTTTGTTTCCACGGACTTTTTTGTGTAGGGACTAGAAAAAGTCCCTCATAGAGACTTTTTTACCAAACGGGAGGGACTTTTTAGGGACTAAACTAGGCATTTGGGACTAAATAAAGAAGACTCTCAAGGAGAGTCTTTTTGAGACTTTTCCATCAATGCCCCTCCATGCACCCATTGGCCCGCCACCCCATGGTGTTGTTTGATTGTTATTTTTTTATATACTAGGGGCAACATGATTATTTAATAGCCTCTAGGAAGGGACTAGGGACTTTTTAGTCTCTGCAAACAAACAGTAAGGGACTTTTTAGAGACTAATGACTTTTTAGTTGGGACTAAAAAAAATCATAGGATTAGAGAACCAAACACCACTTTAGACTAGTGTCATATACATGACACTAGTATAAGTTACTCCAATGACCAGCCTTAAGGGGAAAATGATTGGGACGCGTCGGTATGCCCATGTTGTAGATTGTAGATGTCCTCACATTCTCTCCTTCGTCTATTCCGGACGCAATAAACCTGGCCGAAGCGACTGGCGGGGAGAGTGCGTGCGTACGTGAGCCCTAGCGGGTTCGAGGAGTCTGCGCCGGCGGCGGAGATGTCGACGCCGTCGAGAAAGCGCCTGATGCGGGACTTCAAGCGGCTGCAGCATGACCCACCGGCCGGGATCAGCGGCGCGCCGCACGACAACAACATCATGCTCTGGAACGCCGTCATCTTCGGGTCCGTGATCCCGCCTTCGCCTGGAATTCCAGTTCCTCACCCCTTTCGTTTGGGTGACAGCCTCTCCGCCGCCGCCGTTGTTCCTAGGGTTTGGTCTGGGGACCTCTAGATCGTGCTGAGCTCCTCAGTTTCAGTTATTTCCATGTTAGGGTTTGTGGTGCTGACGAGGGATCCTTTTTCTGTGGTGTGGTTTTGCAGGCCGGATGATACGCCATGGGACGGAGGTGAGGCTCGTCGGTTTGATCTCCTCTGACCTCTAGCTGATTTACTGTTTTACGTGTGGTTGCTAGTTCCTTGGGCGTAGTTTTATTGTGAATCGTAAGGCGGAACTGCAGCTATCCTATATATTGCTGATGGTTTTTGTTTGTCCTGGGAGTGATGCTGCATTGTACCTGTTTGCATCCATTAGTCTGTTATACGTTTTGCGCGGAAAATTCCGTTGCATGATTTGGGCAGTACTGTTCGTTGGGCTTTTCTGTCACTGTTTACAAGCAGCAGAAGGTCTGTTGGAAGTGTATATTTTAGGCTAAAGTTATGAAATCCCTGCTGGTTTTGGGTTTCCTTAAATCGGAAAAGACAAAATCTGCATGGTCGAACCTGTTACGACGGCAGACTCCACTCAAGGTGCACCAAAATTAGGAGATCCGTATGAATTCTGCAGTAATTTTTTTAGTGAGTTATGGGATGGAACGCCAGAGCTGATTTGGAGTTGCACAAAGTGTTCTTTTGGTATAGAAATTTTTTAGCTTTGGAAATTCCTTTGGCAGCAAGCTTTGGACTTGCATTTGGAAATAGGTTCCCAATTTAGCTTAGGAAAGGAGTTCAGCTGCAACATGAAAGCCGTGATGCTGTTGTTCTCTTTTAAATATTATTAATACTTCATAAGGTTGAGTATTCTATCTGAGGACTAGATAAAGAAAAAGTTCATATCTGTTATGCATCCTCTTAATGCTATTTATCCACTTTGCTTCTCAGCTTATAGTTTGACACATTAGCAAACTGCTATTTTTGTGTGTAAATTAAATCAATAATATTGCTGGTGTGACAGCAATACATGATGAACTAATTTATCCACATTGCTTTGTCCGTTTAGTTTGGGACAATAGCAAATTGCTATTTTTGTTTTAAAAGACTAAATCAGTAATATTGCTCGTGTGACAGTTCCAGGAATGTCACCTGCTTTTGAGAGCATTGTTCAATCTTCATATTTGTACTGTAGGGAAATGCACGGCAGATGCATAGTAGCAGGTAGTGATTTTTGCATGCCCACGGCTCAGACCTAGTGATATGTGTATTGTACCGAGCATCCAAAGAGGTTAGTATTTTTCTTTTGGTAAAACATCTTAGCTAGGCCCTCCCATAAAAAAGGACAGCCTGGTGCACTTAGCTCCCGCTTACGCAGGGTCCGGCGAAGGGTCCGACCACTTTAGGCCCTCCCCATGACCACCACCAAAATTCTTCCAAGGTGGACATTGTTCCACTCCATAGGTTCAGAGTGGCCAGATAAGAAATGTAATATAAAGCGGTTCCATCACCATACACGTTGGCATATGACAGTCATGAAGGAGCACATAACCAAAAATAACTATGTATGGGGTCAACCATGTTGGTGCATGATGCATGCTTATTGTGCATATGTTTTAGCTTGTGGCATCCTAATATGGCAATAGGCATGATTTTGGAGAAGCTGTCTCATTATGTCATATTTATGCAAATATCTAATTTAAGCTTAGTCTAGTGGTATTGAAGTTATATTCTTTATATGAAATGGTGGAAATGAAACATCTCATCTTGCTGAGAGCCCAACCTCTTGAGGCATGTTTGGTTCACAGCCCCATTGGCAAGCCAACCAATCAGGTCCTTCCTTTCCCTTCTTTATACTAGTATAAATGTGCACGTGCAATGGACGTAACCATATGAATGTCATTGTTTTAATCCTAGTTAGCATGAACATATTTAAATAGAATCTACAATTTTTTTAGTGTGATGTATGACAAAGCGAAAAAGTTTGGTATTGTACTTCTATCTCTACTATATATACTCCCTCCATTCCACAATGTAGTGCACCCACGCTTACCGAGATCTAAGTTTGACCATAAATTTAACCAACGAGACCGACTGCGGCAAGGGCAAAAATTATACCATTGAATTTATGGTCAAACTTAGATCTTGGGAAGCGCGGGCGCACTACATTGTGGAATGGAGGGAGTATTTAAAAGACGTAAGGTCTCGTATTTCACCCATCAGCGTTTCGTTCCCACCTTCATCCAACCCCACTCCGTCCTCTCCTCCTCCCTCTCCGTCTTAAATTTTTTTGCTCCTACCTCTGGTTTTTTCGACTTGTCTTTGTTGAAAACCACACACGTCTTCTGGTTTACCAAATGAAATCATGTTTTCTTAGGTAAGTCAATAAGTGTTTTTTTAAAGTACTCCCTCAACTATAAGGTGATACCTGGAGAGAGTGTTGTACCTCAGCATAAGTTGGTGGTTGCTGACTTCCGCTTTCGGATTCGTGTCCAGCGGGATAAGCGTGCCAAAGTCGCTAGAACGAAGTGGTGGAAGCTCAAGGGGGAGGTAGCTCAAGCGTTCAAGGAGAGGGTCATTAAGGAGGGCCCTTGGGAGGAAGGAGGGGATGCGGACAATGTGTGGATGAAAATGACGACTTGCATATGTAAGGTGGCCTCGGAGGAGTTTGGAGTGTCCAAGGGAAGGAGAAGCGAAGATAAGGATACCTGGTGGTGGAATGATGATGTCCAGAAGGCGATTAAAGAGAAGAAAGATTGTTTTAGATGCCTATACCTGGATAGGAGTGTGGACAACATAGAGAAGTACAAGATGGCGAAGAAGGCCGCAAAGCATGCTGTCAGTGAAGCAAGGGGTCGGGCGTATGAGGACCTCTACCATGGTTAGGCACAAAGGAAGGCGAAAGGGACATCTATAAGATGGTCAAGATCCGAGAGAGGAAGACGAGGGATATTGGCCAAGTCAAATGCATCAAGGACGGAATAGACCAACTCTTGGTGAAGGACGAGGAGATTAAGCATAGATGACGGGAGTACTTCGACAAGCTGTTCAATGGGGAGAATGAGAGTTCTAGAACTGGACGACTCCTTTGATGAGACTAGCATGTTTTTTGTGCGCCGAATCCAGGAGTCTGAGGTCAAGGAGGCTTAAAAAAGGTTGAAAGGAGGCAAGGCGAATGGCCATTATTGTATCCCCATTGAGGTGTGGAAAGGCCTCGGGGACATAGCGATAGTATGGCTAACCAAGCTTTTCAACCTCATTTTTCGGCCGAACAAGATGCCAGAAGAATGGAGACGGAGTATATTAGCACCAATCTTAAAGAACAAGGGGGATGTTCAGAGTTGTACTAATTACCGTGGGATTAGGCTGATGAGCCATACAATGAAGCTATGGGAGAGAGTCATTGAGCACCGCTTAAGAACAATGACAAGCTTGACCAAAAATCAATTTGGTTTCATGCCTGGGAGGTCGACCATGGAAGCCATTTTCTTGGTACGACAACTTATGGAGAGATACAGGGAGCAAAAGAAGGACTTGCATATGGTGTTCATTGACTTGGAGAAGGCCTATGATAAGATACCACAGAATGTCATGTGGTGGGCCTTGGAGAAACACAAAGTCCCAGCAAAGTACATTACCCTCATCAAGGACATGTACGATAATGTTGTGACAAGTGTTAGAGCAAGTGATGTCGACACTGATGACTTCGCGATTAAGATAGGACTGCATCAGGGGTCAGCTTTGAGCCCTTATCTTTTTGCCTTGGTGATGGATGAGGTCACAAGGGATATACAAGGAGGTATCCCATGGTGTATGCTCTTTGCGGATGGTGTGGTGCCTAGTTGACGATAGTCGAACGGGGGTAAACAGGAAGCTAGAGTTATGGAGACAAACCTTGGAATCGAAAGGGTTTAGGCTTAGTAGAACTAAAACCGAGTACTACTAGGTGTGAGGAGGAGGAGGTTAGCCTTGATGGGCAGGTGGTGCCTCAGAAGGACGCCTTTGATATTTGGGGTCAATGCTGCAGGAGGATGGGGGTATTGATAAAGATGTGAACAATCGAATCAAAGCTGGATGGATGAAGCGGCGCCAAGCTTCTGGCATTCTCTGTGACAAGAGAGTGCCACAAAAGCTAAAAGGCAAGTTCTATAGGACAGTGGTTTGACCCACAATGTTGTATGGCGCTGAATGTTGGCCGACTAAAAGGCGACATGTTCAACAGTTAGGTGTGGCGGAGATGCGTATATTGAGATGGGTGTGTGGCCACGCGAGGAAGGATCGAATCCGGAGTGATGATATACGAGATAGAGTTGGGGTAGCACCAATTGAAGAGAAGCTTGTCCAACATCGGCTGTGATGGTTTGGGCATATTCAACGCAGGCCTCCAGAAGTTCCAGTGCATGGCGGATGGCTAAAGCGTGCGGAGAATGTCAAGAGAGGTCGGGGTAGACCCAATTTGACATGGGAGGAGTCTGTTAAAAGAGACCTGAAGGATTGGAGTATCACCAAAGAACTAGCTATGGACAGGGGTGCGTGGAAGCTTGCTATTCATGTGCCTGAGCCATGAATTGGTCGCGAGATCTTATGGGTTTCACCTCTAGCCTACCCCAACTTGTTTGGGACTAAAGGCTTTGTTGTTGTTGTTGTTGCACTCCCTCCAATCCATATTAATTATTGCTGCTTTAGTACAACTTTAGTAAAGTTGTACTAAAGCAGCGAATTTGTACTAAAGTTGTACTAAAGCAGCGATAATTAATATGGATTGGAGGGAGCAGTTTTTTTTTTTAAGAAAATGGCGATTCAATTGGCAACTAAAATCTATTTTTTTTGTATGTCTCACAGTGATTGCGTACAAAATATTTATGGCCCTGTTGCAAAGCACGGGCAGTTATCTAGTAAATCAAGATGCTTTGGATCAGCCCCGTTCGTGCTTTATAGGGGTAGTAGATTTTGTCTGAGCATACAAGACTTCAGCTTATATTTTAGTTTTATGTTTCTGGTCTCAGTATGCTGTCATTGTTGTATGAGTCAATCGCGGTGTGGTCGAAGTTGTTGGTAGTTTTGAACTGTGTACCTTCGCGTGCGAGCTGGGCAATTAGTTTAGTTGTACTTCTTTTGTAGTAAACTTCCTTCCATAAAACTTTCGACCCTATTTTACATTTTCCAGTTAAAAAAGCACACACTTTATCACTTAAAATGCAAAATTTTACCAAGTCTATAAGTACCCACAAAATATTCTTTTTAGCGGAACTACCCACAAATTGTTATGCCTTTGCCCCCAAAAAACAAGAGCCTATTAATCGGACGATGAGTCAGCAATATTGATTGGATCTATATTACATTGAGTTACTGGGACTAGGACTATACATGCAACAAATGTTCAGGTATCGTTAACTGGTAACTGCTTGGTCATCTGGTGAGTAAGGGGTTAGAGGGGAATCAGCCAGTTAAACGGCTGTTCGCTGACCAACCGAGCAGGGATTAGTTGGCAAGTTGACTGATTGTCGGCCAATATTTTAAACACTGCATACAACTACGAGCTTACTGGGCTGGGTATTTGATACAAAGACATGTAGAAATGTGGATTTAGTTTAGTTTTCCAATGTTAAGAAGCAAAATTGGTGGAATATTCACCTAAGATTTATCTGGGTCTGAGGGTGGATAGTTTGTCCTTGATGGTCTTATAGAACCAGTGATCAGGTTTTGATGATTATTTGGCAGTTAGGCATTTTTCGCTGGTGTAATCAGTTATCCACCAATAAAAATCACAGCCGGCGTACCTTACACATCAGTTTCAGTTCTGATCCCTCTTGTCTGAAGATATATCTTTCCAGTTCTGGTTGGCTGGATAAATTTAACTCGGTTATCGATATACGGACCTCTACCTCTAGTCAAGAGTTTGTACTGAATATTCACTTTCAATAGTAGTGCATGTTTAGTTATGCTTATGGAAGTTGTTCTCTGTACAAATTGTCTATATTAATTTACCTTTTGTACCTACATTATGTGACATTGCTGTCTTGCGTGGTTAACACTTTGACAAATCATTGGTTGTCACAGAGTAATCCATACTTCCCTATGGTTAATAACTACGTGAAGAGCCTTACTTACTTACGAAGCCTTTTATCCCAAACAAGTTGGGGTAGGCCAGATATGAAACCCTTTCACGAGGACTTCCCAGGAGGTCACCCATCCTAGTACTACTCTCGCCCAAATGGGTTTCATACCCAAAAGACATGTGAAAAATTATTAAAGCTTTGCTTATTTCTATCATGAGAAATCCTCTATGGGTGCATTGTTGTTATATGGCATTTCTTGATTTTGCATGCTGAGTTTAATGTTTTGGTTTTGTAGTTTTTGAACTGCCTTAAATCATCTATTGCAAAAATGATGAACACATGTGAAATTTTTAGTGCCTATCATGGTCATCCATTCGTATTGCCACGCAGCAATTCTTCATTATATATAGGACAACCAAAAAAGTCTCAAGGAGTAGTTTACATTGCATCTTTCTGTTGCTGCAGTTGAATTAATGCTATTATATTATAATATGATGGCACTGGAAATTTACTGATAGTTTATTGTCTCACATATCTAGGCACGTTCAAGCTTACCTTGCAGTTTACAGAAGATTACCCCAACAAGCCGCCAACTGTTCGTTTTGTCTCTAGGATGTTTCACCCAAATAGTAATCTCTCTCACTTTGCCTTTGTACCCATCTCTCTGATTCCATATGACTAAGATACCTTCTTTCTCACTGTCTCTATCCATCTCTCTTATTTCATGTGACTGGAATACCTTTCATATCGTACGGAGTAATTATCATTATTCTAAATTGATGTCTGGAGAAGTGGTTTAATATCTTTGCTACATCTCTGCAGTTTATGCAGATGGGAGCATCTGCTTGGATATTCTACAGAACCAGTGGAGCCCTATATATGACGTTGCTGCCATATTGACTTCTATTCAGGTACCATTTTGATCAGACTAGTCAAACTTCATGTGTGATTCCCATTGAAGAGAATAGTGCTACTAATATAGTGCTAATTAGTAGGCATGTTCAGTAACTTGCCAAATATTGTGGAGAGGCCTCTATTGTGGTAAGAAAGTCTGTTGCATTCAGTTGGCTAGCCCACCATGTGGAGTGCTAGCCAACCCTGGTTAGTATCAATGTTAGCACCCTGCATGGTGGGCTACCAGTCTGACCCTTGTGTGTTGTTTATTAATTGTCTGGTAGGAGTATTCTTTGACACCTCCATTTTTAATATTTGGAAAGCATGGCATTTATGTTGATTGGTTTGTGTTGCTTACCACGCGATAGTATGCCATGTATGATTATGTATTGAGTGGTTAGATGTAATATCTGGTTGCATTGCTACAGTTTCCAGTCAAATTTATGTTTTTGAATTTTGGACTTGGTTGCACCTGGTGGGATGCTCCTACGCAGGAAGTTGTATTTGTCAAATGTTCTAAATCATGTCAAGTAAATCGATCTTAGGGAAATTTAAAGATGTATGGAAACTTTTCTCCTTGCAGCTTGTTGACTGGGAAGTGAACCTTGACCTAAATTATGCAGAATCACACGACAGTGAATTAAATTAGTCAGGTTTTATTTGAGATTATACCACTGTTTACAAACTGGAGCTGTACAGCCACATGGTGGTTGTACGCTGCTTATAAACAATCAGCAGTGCTGCCATGCTCAGAACAAAAGTTGATGCAAAAAATGTTAAGCAGAACCATTTCATGATAGAGGATGGGTTGTTTCACATGTACGTGCTGTCAACCCCCATAACTGTATGCTGCATGTAGTGCCTGCATCATGCATCCATATCTGATACCTGGTTCACTAACGCTCTACTTCCTGTACAGTCCTTGCTGTGTGATCCAAACCCCAACTCTCCAGCAAATTCGGAAGCTGCCAGAATGTTCAGCGAGAACAAGCGAGAGTACAACCGCAAAGTCCGCGAGATCGTGGAGCAGAGCTGGACTGCTGACTAAGGCAGGGCGAGGCGGCCGCTGCCAGAAAGTTGCAATAAGCAACCATGAAACCTTTGTTTAGGGCGCTCTATAGTTGCTTCTCAGATGAAATGTTAAACATCTCCAGTTATTGCTTGCAGGTCAAACCGTCAAAGTATCTTTTGTCTCCGTGGTAATTTTGTGTCATGTCTCGTGCTACTGTTCTTTTATGTTGTGTTGTTGATCCTGCCTCATGAATTTAGGGGCATCATATGTAAAAAGTTATAGTGTGGAAATGGTTGATGAACACTTAGTCATGTGTTGTTACTTGTCAGGCCTCGAGGCGTGTGGCAGATGTGTCCATTAGATCCGGCGTTGCCATCTTGGTGAAGCAATATCCCTGTTTTTTAGCAACTGCAACCGCCGATCCATTTTGTCCGCGCTTGTCCGTTTGGGTTGCGGCGGCAGAAAAGTCGGCCCGACGTGCTTACCCAACCAAACGTTTTTGAGCCACATTTGCGTCGGCATGGATAGAGATGGACATGCGTGTCGTGCGCCAACTACTCCCCTTGGCCCGTTAGTCGGTGGCAAAGCCTTCATCGTTTTCCTCCACTTTACCAAAACCCTTTGGCCCGCGTGTGCTTTCGGCCGCTCGCCATGGACGACGTCCTTGATCTCGCCGCCGGCCTCGCCTCCCTCGCCTTGTCCGGCATCACCTCTGCCCTCTCGGGCAAAGGCAAGCCCCGCACACCTCGCAAGATTGTCGCGGCGCCCAAGAAGAAGCAGCTGACACTCGAGGAGCAGGTCGTGGAGTTGGCGAAGAGGAAGGGCTGGAGGCACGCGGCGGATGCAAGGGGCGAAGTAGCGACTGCCGCTGCCCTCGCCGCCGCCGCGCAGCAGGAGTACACCAATGCCCGCATCGCGGTGGCAACGAGGGAGGCGCTGATCTATCTAGGGTTAAACCCTGGCCAACACGGGCTCGTCAACGGCACCGTGACCGTGGCCAGCACCGGCTCGTCCGTGTTTCCTCGGATGGTGCTGCCAAAGTCGCCCCATGTGTCGGTGACTCACCCGATTCCCGGCTTTCATGTCTACCGGCAAGCCTCCTGACTCTCCGGGGAATGCTTGCCGGAGGTGAGCGTGGTGGCGCCTTCCACGCCCGCGCCCACACCTATCGACCTCAACGCCACGTCGGTGGCCAGTGCCTCGTCATCCGGAGGGGCGAGGAAACGCGTACGGGAGATGCCAGCCGACGTGCTCCCCGACGCCCGCAACCTGTTCGACAGAATGTCGGCGTGCGCGACGACGAGACGACCAACCGTTTAATGCAGAGCATCATCTTCGAGGGTGATGTGGCGGCTAGCTACGATCCTGATGAGACCCAAAGCCAGGACAGCCAAGGGTCGTTCACGCCGATGACCCATGATCAAGCTGGCATGCACGACGCCTTCATGCAAGATCAGGTCGACCTGGACCTGGACGGCTTCCCGCTCGACCACAAGTTTCTGGAGCACTACGTCCTCGAGGAAGAGGATGAGTTTGACATCGACGAGGAGCCTTTGTTCGAGGACGAGCTCACCAACCAAGCCGCCGGGGCAAAGTCGAAGCGCAAGAGCAAGCGGACGAAGCCATACATGGTGGCCAAGGACAAGCTCCTTTGTGAGTGTTGAAGGGACATTGGGCAAGGCCCCAAGGTCGGGCCGAACAAAAGGCATCAACCTTTTGGATTGGTGTCCATTGTGAGTTCCATGAACGTAAAAATTTTGCGCCGTACCAAATGCATAGCACGTGCGGGTGGGTGCCCATTTCGAAGCGATGGAGGATGATCCAACAAGAGTGCAACAAGTTTTGTGCCACTCTTGAGAGCATCAAGGCACGCACCAAGAGCGGCATCGGCATGCAAGACACCGTATGCATGCACCCCTCATTGTTTTCATTTCGTTTATGCTTGCATGTCCATTTTGCATATCCATTTGCCCATATGCTTGCATGCTATTCATTTACAGGCATTCTAAGCTTTGAAGGCATTCAAGGTCCAACATGAAGGCAAGTTCTTCAACCTCTCCTATTGTTGGAGGGTCATCAACGGGGAGAAGTACAAGGCGCAATATGCCGCCCTCATGGCGCGTGGGGGGAAGAAAGCCGTGTAGGAGGTTGGGGAGGGCCAGAAGTCACGACCGCGGAGGAAGACCAACTCCAAGAAGGAAGACAAGCGGGATGCGGCGTCGATCGCCTTGCTCGCAACTGTGGAGGGCATGATGACCAAGCACCAGTACAACGAGGTGCCATACAAACGGTTTTTAACCCCTTTCCGCGATGACATTTGGAACAGTCACCAAGTGAGTGTGGGCGATAGGGGGGTCCTTCCCAAACGACCCAGAAACCGTCGGGGATAGGGAGCCAAGATGCATATACAATACTCCTACTCGTTTGTGCTTGCATTGCCATCATAGTCGGTATTCTGTGGTGCTACGTTTACGATGCACGGCCCATCACAAATGGTTCACTATTATAGAACGTGTATGATAAGCAGACAATCACACACATTCGCTTTTGCAAACCATATGCGATAACTAATTAAGAAGATTAGCTAATCATCGTACGAGTGTCGGACAGTCGTAACATCGTCGTACACGACAACTATCGCACATGCTATTCTGTGGTGTAACGTTTACGATGCATACTTCATCAGAAATAATTCATGGTTGCGAATCGTGTACGATAAGGCAACTATCACAAATGTTTAGTTTGCCTGCACCGTTTGTGATATTGTCTGACATCGCACACGCTTTGCAAACGGCAACTGTGTGCATGCTTGGACATGTTTCCTCTCTGTGAACCGTGTCGGATTATGGTGTATATCGCAAACATTTGTGTTTTACCAACTGTGTGTGCCGTAACGACCTAGAGAGCATAATTTCACCGTAATTTAATTGCTGTTATTTCAAATTGTATCCGATTTGAATTTGAATTTGAATATATGCTATAGATTTATTCATATCCATCAGGTTCAAACAACCAATGCATTATTCGATTCATAGGTACATATGTTCAAGAATTACATAAGAACCAAATAAAGAATGATGAACCACAGTTATATACTTGTATTGTTAAAGACGGTAAATAAAGAGGTGAAATACATTCTAGTTGCTAAACAAGGTGAAGCGGAATGCCCATATTGCGCCCTCCTCCATGCAGAAGGCACACACGACTCTAGTCCAACCCCTTGTGATAGCTGACCGCCCATCCTTCACGGTCTTCATGAAAACATCTAGATAATCATCGTGTTCTGGTAGAAATACTTTAACCTTTGCATGCCCACCAATCATGTAGTTTGAGAGGTAATCTTGGGTAAACTGCTTTGGGAACCACTGCAAAGGAAAAAGATTCAGATATTGTCATCTAACACAACTCATTATGGGCAGTGAAAAGAAGGCTGCAGAGTTCTTACTTACCATCCTGCAGTTCACTGTTGTCTTGGATAAAGTGTAAACAAATAGTTTAATTGCTATATTTTGACCCATTTTACTAACAATCTTTATCATCTTCCTCACTTGATGCTGGTTCATCGATATCTCATTGCCTCATACGCAGAAAGGGTCAAAGCGCGGATCTTTACCAATGAAATATGTACCTAAAAGCACCAAATTAATATTAGAAGCTAAACAACAATTGCACAATGATGCAGTACAAAACTCTTTTATAACATCTTATAACATCCAATATACTCACATATTAGATGAATTAACATCTTATATTATGGGCCGGAAGGAGTTAGTTCACGGTTATTCATGAGCTAGAAACTAACTCTAACCTCTAGCTAAGTTGAGTATACAAACAGGGCTGTGTTGTTGTTGCTGCTACTACTATTGGTGTTGTTGTTGTTGTTGTTGCTGCTGGTGGTGCAGGTGCTGGTGCTGGTGCTCCTGCTGGTGCTCCTGCTGCTGCTCCTGTTGTTGTTGTTGTTGTTGTTGTTGTTGTTGTTATTGTTGTTGTTGTTGTTGTTGTTG